GTGGGTGGGCACCCACAGGGGTGAGGCTGGGATTTGGGGGCGGGGCCATGGCCCGAGGGGGCCCTGCCTCCCCCACTAGGGGATGAGGTGGGGTGGGGCCAGGAACTCAAGGCGGGGCCTGGACCTGTAAAAAGCAAGGATCTGTGAGCTAGAATTGGGGGGCGGAGCTCCAGGGGTGAAACCGGGGCTTGAAGTGGGAGCAAAGCTGGCCCAGTCCGAGCAGGACCTTGGGTGCACCTGGGCCAGACTGCGGGGCACTGCCTGTCGCTGACCGTCTGGACATGGCTCTCCACCCACTCCTACCCTTTTGGGGCTGGGGCTGGTCTGGCTGGGGGGTCAGTCGCTGGGTTGTAGTTCAGAGCTGGGCTCAGGACTTGGGGGGCTGCCTGGCCTGACCTCAGCGCCCTTGCCACCCCCAGCTGAGCCTCAACAACAAGCAGCTGTCGCAGATGCTCAAGTCCTCAGCGCCTGCGCAGCAGGAGGAGGAGGACCCCCTGGCCTACTACGAGAACCACACGTCCCAGATCGAGGTGGGGCCGGAAGGTGGTGGGCAGGGTGAGGGCCCCGAGCTGGGCCCGGCGTCACCCGCTGCCTGTGTGCGCCCAGATCGTGCGGCAGGACCGCAGCATGGAGCAGATCGTGTTCCCGGTGCCTGGCATCTGCCAGTTCCTGACGGAGGAGACCAAGCACCGGCTCTTCACCACCACGGAGCAGGACGAGCAGGGCAGCAAAGTGAGCGACTTCTTCGACCAGTCCTCCTTCCTGCACAACGAGATGGAGTGGCAGCGCAAGCTCCGCAGTGAGGACCCCCTCCCGGGGCGGGGGGCAGGCTGGGCCTGGAGCTCCCGAAGCCCCTGGCCTGCTGGTGGCTGCCCCACCTCACCCCACACCACCCCACCCCACCCCACGGAGGGCTCCAGTGCTTTTCTCTGAAGTGGGGCCTGGACTTGTGCGGGCAGTGGGCCCGCGTGGGGTGAGCACAGTGTGGCTCAGGCCCCCTGACACCGGCCTCCCGCAGGCATGCCGCTCATCTACTGGTTCTCCCGCCGCATGACCCTGTGGGGCAGCATCTCCTTTAACCTGGCCGTGTTTATCAACATCATCATCGCCTTCTTCTACCCCTACGTAGAGGGCGCGTCCACAGGTCAGGACGGGGGCAGCAGGCAGGGGCTTCGGGCCCATTTTGGCAGAGCCTGGGGGGTCAGGTGCGGAATTGGGAGGAGCGCCCCTGCATTGCCCTCGGGCTGCACACCCCATCATGGGGGACACGGGTGTGGTCCAGTGGGACGGGTCTCTGACCTCTGGAGATAGCTCACACCTGCATACACACGAGCCAGAGACCAGCTGTGGCGGCAGCAGCTGGAGAGGGTCCCCTGCCTCAGGCCTAGAGATGCGGGTGTGATGGGGGCCCCGAAACCTGGTGACCAGGAGCTTCACAGGGAAGGCTTCCAGGAAGGGGTGTTCCTTGGGGTCGGTGGGGTGTGGGGCCTGAGCGCGCCTCGCTTCGTCCTGCTCCCGGCCCAGGAGTGCTGGACTCGCCGCTCATCTCGCTGCTCTTCTGGATCCTCATCTGCTTCTCCATCGCTGCCCTGTTCACCAAACGCTACAGCGTCCGCCCGCTCATCGTGGCGCTCATCCTGCGCTCCATCTACTACCTGGGCATCGGGCCCACGCTCAACATCCTGGGTGCCCTCAACGTGAGTGCCAGAGGGAGCCCCACCCCGACTACCTCCCAGCGGCCACTGCTCCGCCCCACCCCTCGTCACTGGGTTGGAATTCCAAGCTCATTATGCACCTGCAGTGGGGACCCCTCTGTGCCTCCTCTGTCTCCCTGGACAACTGGGGCGCTGGCACGAGACAGCCGGCCAGGAGCCCCAGCTTTGGAGCCCCAGCTTCAGGGCTGCTGTGCGCACTGTGTCAGCTGTGCACGGCCCAGGCGCACTGTTCTGCTGGAGACAGCAAAGCTTTGTATATTCTGGCCATTTCCTGACGGATGGAAATGAGGTGCCTTGAGCAGGGGCTGTCTTTTCTAACTTAGTCACTGTAAAGGCTAAGGGTGGTCTTCTCCGACCCCCCTCCTTTTCTTACACCTCCCTTTCTTCCTGGAACTGGGGCACCCGGGGGCTCCTCTATCCTAGTCCCAGGAGCCCAGATGCATCCTGGGAGCATTTTCCTTAATGCGCCTGCCAGGCTGAGCAGAAGCAGCTCAGACCCACTCCACGGAAGGTGTGGCTTCTGAGCTGGGCATGCGTGGGCAGGGAGGCTGGGGTAGAGATTCAGGGTGGGCAGTGGGACCTGACCCCACGCCCTGCACTCGCCCCCAGCTGACCAACAAGATCGTGTTCGTGGTGAGCTTCGTGGGCAACCGCGGCACCTTCATCCGGGGCTATAAGGCCATGGTCATGGACATGGAGTTCCTCTACCACGTGGGCTACATCCTGACTAGCGTCCTGGGCCTCTTTGCCCACGAGCTCTTCTACAGCATCCTGGTGAGACTCCGCGGGGCCGGCGGGGTGGGGGTGGGGGCAGGGGCAGTGCAGGGCGAGTTCATGGACATGTTCCTCTACCACGTGGGCTACATCCTGACTAGCGTCCTGGGCCTCTTTGCCCACGAGCTCTTCTACAGCATCCTGGTGATGAGCGGGCGACTGCGTGCCTCAGTTTTTCCGTCTGTAAAACGGATAATTAACAGCGCCTGCCTTCTAGAATAATTGTGAGGCTGAAGTGAGCTGCTGAATATAAGTCACAGACCAAGCACACCGTCAGAGCTGGGCGCCCCACCCCTCTGTGTGGACAGCCTGCCCCTCGGCCCTCCCTTTCCTTGGATTAGAAATCCAGAGGCTCTGAGAAGCCTCCAGGCCCCCGCGGGCTCGCCTGCCTAAGCGCAGACCCTGCGGAGGAGGCTGTGGGAAGCACTGGCAGCTGCAGCCCTCAGGCCCAGCGCACCCCCCTCAAGGCCCATCCCTGCCCTGCAGCTCTTCGACCTCATTTACCGGGAGGAGACGCTGTTCAATGTCATCAAGAGCGTGACCCGCAACGGCCGCTCCATCCTGCTGACCGCCCTGCTGGCCCTCATCCTCGTCTACCTCTTCTCCATCGTGGGCTTCCTCTTCCTCAAGGATGACTTCATCCTCGAGGTGGACCGGCTGCCCAGCAACCACTCCCGAGGTCCGGGCCCCTCTG